CCCTCCACGCATGCACTGTGTGTGCGCTCTGGTGCGGATGGCTAGAGCTGGGTGCTTAGCAGTCCTGGGCTCCCTCTCCCTCCCTGCTCCGACTCCTCTCCTCCCACCGGGAGCTGGGGTGAGGGGCGCTCAGGTCCCGCTGGGCCGGGGCTTGTATTTTACCCCTTTCACCAGGCACTGGGTTCTCGCAGGTGTGGATGTAGTCTGGCTGTTGTCCTATGTCTTCTGGTCTCTTTTAGGATTACCTGTATTTGTTGTATTTTCAAAAATATATATGTTTTTGGGAGGAGATTCCCACTGTCCTACTCACGCCGCAATGTTTGCTCTGCCTCTTCTCTGCCCATTTTTTAATTGGATTATTTGGTTTTTGTTTGTTGAGGTGCATGAGCTCTTTATATATTTTGGATGTCAAGCCTTTATTGGATCTGTCATTTATGAATATATTCTCCCATACTGTAGCGTACCTTTTTGTTCTATTGATGGTGTCCTTTGCTGTACAGAAGCTTTTCAGCTTGATGTAGTCCCACAAAATGTGAATATTTTAACTTACTCTTTTTCAAGATTGTTTTGGCTCTTTGGGGTCCCTTGCATTTCCATATGAATTTAGGATCAACTTGTCAATTTGGGGAAAAAGTAGAAAAAGCCAGTTGGGATTTTGATCATCATTGCATTGAATCTGTATGTAGATCAACTTGGGGAATACTGTATATTTTACAATATTAAGTCTTCCAATCCAGGAACACAAGATGTCTTTCTTTATCATTTATTTAGTTATTTTTAAGTTTCATTCAAGGTTGTTTTGTAGTTTACAGTGTGCTAGTCTTGTACTTCCTTTGTTAATTTCTTTTTGATATTATACTAAATAGAATTGTTTTCTTGATTTTATTTTTGGATTGCTTATTGCCAGAATATAGAAATACAATTTAAAAAATATATCTATCTCTTGTATCCTGCAACATCGCTGAGCTTACTAGTTCTAGTAGTTTTTTTGTGGATTCCTTAGGATTTTCTATATGCAAGATAATGGAATCTGAATAGTGATATTTTTACTTCTTACATTCCAATCTGGATGTCTTTTCTTCTTTTCTTGCCTAATTGGCATGGCTAGAATCTTTAGTACAATGTCAAAGAAAAGCGGTGAGAAAAGCATGTTCCTAACTTACATATCTTAGGGGGATGCAATCATTCTTTCATCATTAAGTTTGGCATTAGCAATGGGGTTTTTTAGATTCTCTTTACCAGGTTAGGAAGTTCCCTTATAATACCATTTTGTTAAGGTTTTCTTTGTAGTCATGAAAGAATATTGGATTTTGTCAAATGACTTTTCTGTATCTTTTGAGATAATCATGATTTTTTCCCTTTATTATAGTAATACCATGTATTACATTGATTTTCTTATGTTGAACCATTCTTATATTCCCAGGATAAATCTCACTGGGTCTTGGTTTATAATCCTTTTTATATGTTAATGGATTCAGTAACATTTTGTGTTTAGGGTTTTGGTGTTTATATTCATAAAATATCTTGACCCATAGTTTTTCTTGTGATGTCTTCAATTTTGGTATCAGGGTCTCATGGAATGAGCTGGGTAGTGTTTCCTCCTCTCCTATTTTAAAGTTTTATGAATAATTGGTATTAAGATTCTTCCTTAAATGGTTGGTAGAATTTGCCAATGGAGCCATCTGTTTCTAGAGTTTTCTTTGTGTAAAGTTTTTGTATTACTAAATCAGTCTCTTTAGTTGTTATAAGTCTCTTCAAATTTTTCATAAGTCTCTTCAAATTTTTCTGTTTCTTCTTGAATTGGTCTCAGTAGTTGCTGATTTTCTAGGAAGTTTTCCATTTTATTTAGATTATCTAACTTGTTAACATACCACTCCTCATCATTTTCCCTTATAATACTTTTATTTCTGTTAAGGTTAGTAGGTGATGTTGTCTATTTCTTGATTTTAATAATTTAAGCCCTCTCTCTAATCGTTTTCGTTAAACTAAATGTGTTTCAGGGTTTTTAAAATATTAAAAAATATTTTCAAAGAACTAGCTTTTGGTTTTGTTAATTTTTCCCTGTTTTTCTCTATATCTGTCATTTTCTGCTTGTGAAAAGCCTCAAGATTAGCCAGAGATGAAAGTGTAGGGACTTTTTTATTCTCTCCTGAGCATACATACTGCTCTGGGCATGCATGAAGCCATATCATGCACAGGACCCTTCTAGATTCCTGGGAATATTTCAGAGTTTTCCAAAGACCCCCTCCCCTCCCATGCATATCTCTTTCCCAGCTTTCATTTTAACCATTTATTAGCCTATTGTTTGGCCCAACTGTTACCCACTACCTCAGGCAGCTACATGTTAAAAAATAGCCTCTGTTCTCAAAGAACACTGAGTGAAAGGCTGTTTACCTTGGGTGAGCTGTCAGGCTAAAGACAGCCTTATGAGTGGGGCCATCCAGGAAACCACCAGACAGGTCAAATAATGACAATTCTCTGGGAATGGGTCTTTGAAGTAGTTGCAATCTCAATCTCTTCTGCTGGTGGCTGCCAGGTGCTGGTTTTCCCATGCACCTGGTGTTCATGGTTTCCCATGACTGTTCAGTGTTCATTTTTAAGGCTACTGTGAAGCTGAGGAGGGAGCATGGTAATAAGGCAGTTTAAAATGTCACAAACCTCACTTGTTTTACTGAGATCCAGTCATTTTACTAAATAAATGCTTATTGAATTGCTGTAAGCTTTTAGTTAACTTTCAGAGTTCTGAAAAATTGGTTCTGATTGATTTTTGCCATTTTCACTGACATCCCCATCCATGATGGCTTCTTGAACATTAAGGTGAGGGGAAAAAAGCCTGAGCTTGGGGTCACGTATTGTGCCAGATCTGTCAAGGGACTGCCATACTTAATATACAAATCTGTATTAAAAAGTATTTATTTATAAAATAAAAGTATTAAAATGTAAAAATGAGCAATGGACATGAAAAGATATGTCATAAAACAAAAAATACAGATTGAAAACTAAGCCTAAGAAAGGAAGGTCAACCTTAAAGAAGTCTAAATCAAAACTATGAGATAGCATTTTCACTAATAAGTCAGCAAAGACAATTACAATTATTACAATTCTTATTATTGGCAAAGAAGCAGTGAAATAAACATTCAAACACTGTTGGTCAGATATATAAGTTGGTGCAGTCTTTCTGTAATACAATTTGGCAGTAATATCAAGTAATTTAAAAATAATGTTCTCTGGATAAAGAAGAGGTGGTACAAACATGCGATGGAATATTACTCAGCCATAAAAAATAGTGACATCTTGCCATTTGTGGCAACTGGATAGACCTAGAAGGTATTATGCTAAATGAAATAAGTCAGACTGAGAAAGACAAATACTACATGACTTCACTTATATGTGGAATCTGAAAAATAAAACAAATGATCAAACAAAACAGAAATAGACCCATAAATAGAACAAACTGGTGGTTCCCATAGGGGAAAGGGGTTTAGAGTGAAATAGGTAGAAATTTCTATTTGTAGGTATGTTATTGCACTGAAACCAATATAATATTGTATATCAACTATACTTCAATAAATATCAAAACAAAAATAATATTCTTTGACCAAATAATTTCATTTCTATATATATTTTCTGAGAAAACAGTAAAACATGTGGATGAAGATTTATATACAAATATATATAGCGTAATGTTATATGTAATAGTGAAAAATTGGAATTAACCTAAATGTCTAGCAATAGTAGACTAGTTAAGTAATTTGTAGTATATTCAACTTATTAGATTATTTTACAGTCATTAAAAGTTTTAGAAGACTTATGTAATGGTATTGAAAATGTATAATATAATGCTAAGTGAAAAAAATCAAACTTTAATGTACAGTTTGTTCAAAATTCTAGAAAGGGAAAAAGGAAGGAAATAAAAACAACAAAAACCTGTCAACTTGTTAACAGTGATGATCTCTGGGTAGGTAGGATACAGGAGATTTAATTTTCTTTACACATTCCCATTCTTTTCAAATTCTATACAGGCACACCTTGCTTTATTGTGCTTTACAGGTACTGCATTTTTGTACAGATTTTAAGTTTATGGCAGCCATGTTTCTAGCAAGTCCGTTGGTGCTATTTTTCCAACATTTGCTCACTTCTTGTCTCTGTCACATTTTGGTAATTCTCACAATTTTTCAAAATTTCATTATTACTATATTTGTTATGATAATCAGTGATTATGAGCTGCTTAAAGCTCAGATAATGGTTAGCATTTCTTAACAATGAAGCATTTTTTAATTAAGGTATGTACATCATTTTATTAGACATAATGCTATTGCACATTTAATGGACTATAGTTTAGTATAAACCTTTTATATGCACTGAGAAACCAAAAAAATTTGTTCAACTTGCTTTATTGTAATGGTCTGGAACCAAACCTCTAATGTCCCCAAGGCATGCCTGTACATTAAGGGTTTATTACCTTTATCGTAAGGCCTGCTGCCAAATGTTAAGAATAAACTCTAGGATATGAAGACAAATTGGATGTGACAGGTAAAGGATTTCTAGCATCATCAAAATTAGGATAGCAAAGAAAAGAATCCTAATTAATAGGGGAAAAAGATGTTTAGTTTTGGACACAATTGAGGATGAACATCTAAGGGATTGTTCTGTAAGTATTGAAAATACAGATTGTTTCTCCAATTTTAGTATGTTCTTGAAAATTTCTTGTTTTTTGCCCCAGATTTGTGATAATTAAAATTTCTTACTCATTAAGATTAGTCTCAGAGAGTTTTTATTTATTGTGTTTTATATTCAAATTACTGCTTCATTTTCATTGAATTTACTGTATAACTGATTAGCAAATGTTCACCTGACTTTTTGCTCTGGACTGACTCAGAGATCTCATTTCCTTTATGATTATTCTCATAGTTGTTTTTGCTGAAAACTACTATGTTTGAATAAGAAATGCAGTTTTTCCTGAACAACATTAATTTTTTTTATTTTTCTATGAATTCTAGGCAATGAACATTTTGACTTCAGTGTTGCTTTTGTATGCAAAAGAGGAAGAAGCTTTTTGGCTTCTGGTTGCTGTATGTGAACGAATGTTGCCTGATTATTTTAATCGTCGAATCATTGGTAAAAAAAACACACACGCACACACACATACACAAACACATATTTCTTTTCTAAACAATTGATAGCGCTCTTGTCTGTCCAATGGAAGAACTGATCACTTATGTTTTGAAATATACAAAATACAAGCAATATCAAAATGTCATATTCACTGACATGCTCATAAAGAGCTTTTTTGTATTGAATATATGATTGGAAAGGTTGATAAATATGTTGCCTCTTTAAAAATAAAGCACCTGGTCTGTTTCTTATTAAAATAGAAATTTTAAATTTGTGGTCTCTAATTTTTTATATAGCAATAATTGTATTGCTAAAACAATGGTGATCTGAAGTACCCAGAGCTACTAGAAAATTTGTAATAGTTACTTGATGAGAGATTTTTAAACAGCTTAAAATCTCCACATTCACATTAATTATATACAGGCACACCTCATTTTATTGTGCTTCACTTTATTGCACTTCACAGATACTGTGTTTTTCACAAATTGAAGACTTGTGGCAAACCTGTATCGAGCAAATCTGTTGGTGCAATTTTTTCAACATTTGCTCACTTTGTGTCTCTACCAAATTATGGTAATGCTCACAGTATTTCAGACTTCTTCATTATTATTATATCTGTTATGGTGATCTTTGATCAGTAATTACAAGTCACTGAAAATTCAGGTAATGGTTAGCATTTTTAGCAATAATTTTTAAATTAAGGTATATACATTGTTTATTAGATATAATGGTATTGCAGTTACTACAATATAGTGTAAACCTTACTTTGATATGCACTGGGAAACCAAAAAATTCATTTGACTCAACTTTATTGGGATATTTACTTTATACAGTGCTCTGGAACCAAACCCACAATACCTCCAGGGTATGCCTGTAGATATTTGCAAGGTTGGAAAGTAGGATCAAGTTCTTGGTTTGTTAATTATAAAATAATTTTTTCAGTCATCAAATATTTATATATCTATGATCCCCCTACCTTAAGTCCCATAAGTGGTCTCTCCTTGCTACCTTCAGTATCATGGCCAGGTTATTAATTGTATTGTCTTTCATTACAGTTTTTTGTGTATTTATCTCAAGTTCTACTAAATATTAAGCTCTTTAAAGTTGAGAGCATTTAATTAATTGGTGTATCTCTTATAGCACCTATTATAGATTTCTGCATATAATAAGGATTCAATAAATATTCAGATGAATTTGAATTTTTTCAGTTGCTTCTTCATGCATGACACTGCTAGCAAATAAACGTGTGAAATACAGAAAAGGCACTGCAGGAGTTCATAATGTAAGGATGAGAAATTAGATATATTGGCATACTAACAAGACGTGAAACGGTATCATAAACAAGTCCTTTTGAAAGGTGTTCATTTTAAAAAAATTTTTTTATATTCTCCAGGAGCCTTGGTAGATCAAGCAGTCTTTGAAGAACTTATCAGGGATCACTTTCTCCAGCTGACAGAACACATGACTGATATGACATTCTTTTCCTCAGTTTCTCTATCATGGTTCCTCACACTTTTTATTAGTGTGCTACCTATTGAAAGTGCAGTGAATGTGGTAGACTGTTTCTTCTATGATGGAATAAAGGCCATTCTACAACTGGGATTGGCAATACTTGACTATAATTTAGACAAACTGCTGGCATGTAAAGATGATGCTGAAGCCGTGACAGCTTTAAACAGGTACTGTAAGAAGCGTAACATTTAAATCTGGAGATCCTCTTAAAGAGACTGTGTTCTTCAATCCTCTTACTAGAAATGAGGAAACTGAACCCTTTCTTAGAAACTTTAAACAATTTGCCAAAGATCACAAAGCTCGTTGAATGAAAAAGCTAGGCCTAAAGTCCATTCCTCTGTTTCCACATAGAATATAACAAGAGTAAATCACTTTGAAGTAAACCACTGGGTTTCATATGCATTTACACTAATATTGTTGATTCGGTATGCTGGGACTTTGATAGTCCCAGTTTGCACTTTAGTGTCATTGTGTAAAAGTAAGTTGAGCGGGGAGAGGTAGTTAGTAATGTTAAATATCCAGTGGGGTGATTGTTCTGGTTTCCAAGTGGTTTTAATCAGGTAGGCTGAGCTTTATTTTCCTAGTGCCTTTTCTATGAATGCTGTTTTGTTTTGGAGCACATGTGTGTTGTGTATGTATGTGTACACTATGTGTATGTTAAATGAATGAATGTTTGGGTAAATTTTGTAATGATGTGTCAAATCCCATTATGTGCAGTGTAAAATATAAACACCTCAGTCTGGCATTCAGAACTCTATGTTAAGTCTTCAATGTACTTCTTTTATATTTTCATACATGCTTCTACATACCTATCCTATATTCCATCTTTACTGGGCTATGTGGTATTTCTTGAGTACTCTCTGAGCCTGTTCACTTCTCTCATGCTTCCCTTCCTACTTCTGAAATAATTTCTTCACCATCCCCTTACGTGTTCCTGTGTCCTCCTAACTCACAACCATCTTCAAATTCCATTTCTTCATAAGACCATCCCTTGTCCTCTCAGTTGAATTAACCCTAACTAGGGAGAAATTAGCTGTCATTTTCTGCGCATTTTACTTCCAGTAATTCTGTGTTACTCTCACTTTTGGATAGGTTCTTTGACAATGTCACTAATAAGGATAGCCCATTGCCTTCAAGTGTTCAGCAGGGTTCAAATGTGAGTGATGAAAAAAGCAGTCATGTTAGAGTGGATATTACAGATTTGATTAGAGAATCAAATGAGGTATGTATTTTTTATTCCATAAATATAATGAATACGGTGTATTTTAAATGATTAATACTATAGTTGTATCTCTAGTGGTATATTAAGAGTAAGATAATACAAGTAAAAATATAATTTAAAATCCATCTTCACTTTTTATTTATTTTGAAGTATAATTGACATACATTATTACATTAGTTTCATGTGTACAACACCATGATTCAACATTTATAGACATTGTGAACTGATCGCAATAAGTCTCGTTACCATTTGTCACCATACACAGTTAATGCAATATTATTGACTATATTCCCAATGCTGTACTTTATATCCCTATGACTTATTTTATATTATTTTATATTTTATTACTTAATTTATATTATTTTATGATGCAAGTTTGTGCCTCTTGATCCCCTTAACCCATTTCACTCCCATAACCTGCAACCCTCTGGCAACTACCACTCTTGTTCTCTATATCTATGAGTCTGGGTTTTGTTTTGTTTGTTTTGTTTTTTTCAGATTCCATACATAAGAGAAATCATGTAGTAGTTTGTCTTTGTCTGACTTACTTCACTTAGCCTAATACCCTCAAGGTCCATCCATGTTGCAAATGGCAAGATTTCATTCTTTTTTATGGCTAAGTAATATTCCACTGTATAAAAATGAGTTCTGTGAATTGTTCCTAGGTTCTATAACCTCTGCTTTAGTTTGCTTTTCATTAAATAAAAATATATTCACCTGCTTTCATAAATAATGGCCACTTTTAAATACCTGTCACTGTATAGAAAGGTGAAAATTATTCTCTTCGTAAAGACTGAGAATGTTAACAATGTTCTTGTACTTAGTCTAGACCCATAGTAGATGGAATTCTCTCCAGTTACATAGAAAAACTGAAATGTGGGAGGTAAAAATTGCATAATCACTGAACAACAGTAGGAAAATAGCTAGAAATAGAACCAAGGCCTCTGAGAATTGAGTCTGATGAAATTCAATTGTAAGAGAAATGGATGTTTATCATGAATGAGTATCTACTGAAATCATATTTCTTGCAGAAATATGGCAATATTCGCTATGAAGATATATACAGCATGCGCTGTCGAAATAGGTTGTATGTGATACAGACCCTAGAGGAAACGACAAAGCAGAATGTGGTGAGTATCCTACCCACAAACCCAATGGGGGAAAAGCAATTGGAGTAACTTTGTTTCATCAACATCCTTTAAAAAACAGTCACTCTTGCGTGAAGAAGATGAAAATAACCACACTTCTGAGGTAGATTCTTGCCTCAGCTTTGCTTACTGTAAATTTTTTAGAAGAAATATGTTTTTTTCTTCAGGTTGAATTATGTTGGTTTCTCTGAAATATTTTGTTATTTGATATTGAAAACTATGACATAGGAGTTTATGCATAACATGTATGTGATGTGCTTCATCAGTTAAAACAGCTGACATACAATGTAGTTGATGCTGCTGATATATATTATTTTCCTTAGATACCTAAGGTAAAGTGTAAAAGGTATAAAAAGTGTGTTTTAAATACTCTCCTTTTTAATATTCAGATGGCTAATAAATTAGTTGTCTCTGATAAGATTAATAGATGCTGGTCAGAGAGGAAGAGTTTTACTTTGCTGTATACCCTTCTGTACTGTTAGAGCTTTTATCATAAGCATGTATTGTTTCTGTAAACTTACTTGCTTAAAAACCAAGTCCTCAGAGATACAAATCACGGAAGATTGACATTTCTGATAATCCCAGGTTTAGATTTCAGTTAAATAATAAAGTGATTTACTGTGACATAGTACACAGCCCCCTTTTTTAGTTTTTGTATATTAACTTTAAAAAAATACTTAAGTAATGCATGCTCATTGTAAGTAATTCGAATATTACAGAAATGTAAAAAAGTAAATGTTCCCTGCCCCAAGAGTTACTAATATTAAAATTGTTTGGCATATATTCTCCCAAAACTTTTTCTGGTATATGTATAGACATAAGTGTGTATGTATGTGTACTTGGGTGGGGTGTAATACAGTTTTTAAAACAAGATCACACCTGTTACTTTGTTCTTCAACTTACTTTTTTCACTCAGAAATATATCATTGTCACTGCATATCTGTCCATTGAGCTACCTCATTTTCTTCAAGTACTGAATAGAATGCTGTTTTATGAATATGGTAACTTATAATTATTCCTTGTTGATATACATTTATTATGTTTCTTCTGTTTTTCTGCTTTTACAAGTAATACCTTATCTAAACAGCCTTGTAGATCTATTCTTACACATTTGTAAGAATATTTCTGTAAGGTAGATTCCTGGAAGTGTAAGCTGGATCAAAGAATGTGTCCATTTACAAATTGACAGGTTCCATCAAATTATCCTCTGAAAGATTTGTACCAAATTAGAATCCTAGAGTGTGTAAGAATGCCCTTTCCCACTCAGACCCAAAAAGTTAATATTTTTAATCAGATATTAAAAATCATTGATTTGAGCCAATTTGATAGATTAAAAAATTAAACCTCACATTTTCATTTTACTGATAGCATGTGTTTATTAACCTTTTTCATTTCTTCTCTTCACTGCCTATTCATATCCTTTGCCAATTTTTCTATGAGGTGGTTTGTCTATTTCTTATTGATTCCTAGGAGCTCTCTGTATATTAGTAGTATTAATTCTTTGTCAGTTATATTTGTGGCAAATATTTCCCCCAATTTTGTTCTTTCTTTTTTCTTTATGGTGTATTTCAGAGTGTATGTTACAAATTTTTATGAAGTCAAATCTTTTTGCTTACATGTTGTTTGGGTTTCATGTCAAACTTAGCAAGGCCTCCCCTATATAAAATGATATAACTTATAAAGATACTTTCTTATGTTGGCTTATAGTACTGGTAATCCTTTGGTTTTTTTAACATTTAGATCTTTAATATAGAGTATATATTTTGTTTATAGTATGAAATAGGATTTTAATGCTGCTGTTTTACAACTGAAATAGCCCATTGTTAGAATACCATTATTGAATCCATCCTTACTCTACTGTACTCTGCCTTTTTCATATGCTAAATACACATACACATATGTGGGTTTATTCCTGGAGTCTTTTTGTGCTACAACACCAGCACACTGTTTTAATTACTGTGGCATTATAGTCCATTTTTAATCTGGTAAAGTTTTTAAAATTATTTTCTAATATCTATTTTAATGATGTCTTTCTCTCTCTTTTTGTACTTCTCTATCCCCATCACCTATTTAGCTGATCTTTCCATCCCCTTCCCCTCTGGTAACTGCTAGTCAGTATCTGAGTTTTTGAGTCTATTTCTGTTTTGCCTTTTTGTTTGTTCATTTGTTTTGTTTTTAAGATTCCACGTATAAGTGGAATCATGTGGTATTTGTCTTTGACTTACTTCACCTAGCATAATACTCTCTAGGTCCGTCTATGTTGTTGCAAATGGCAAGATTTCATTCTTTTTATGGTTGAGTAATATTCTACTGTATATTTGTACCACATCTTTATCTACTCATTTATCAATGGAAACATAGGTTGCTTCCATATCTTGGCTATTCTAAAGCTGCAATAAACATAGGCGTACATATAGCTTCTCAAATTAGAGTTTTTGTTTTCTTTGGGTAAATTCCCAAAAGTGGAATTGCTGGGTCTTAGAGTATTTTTAGTATTTTGAGAAACCTCCATAGTGTTTGCTCCAATTTATACTTACACCAACATTGTATGCATTTTCCCTTTTCTCTACATCCTTGCCAACACTTGTTTTCTTGTCTTGTTGATACTAGCCATTTTGATTGGTGTGAGGTGATATGCATTATAATTTTAATTTGCATTTCCCTAATGATTAGTGATGTTGAGCATCTTTTCTTAAGCCTGTTGGCCATCTGTATGTCATCTTTGGAAAAATGTCTTTTCAGATCCTCTGCCAATTTTTTAATTGGGTTATTTGTGGTTTTATTGGTGTTGAGTTGTATGAGTCCTTTATATATTCTGGATATTAGCCCCTTATTGGATATATCATTTGCATATATATTCTCCCATTCGGTAGGTTGCCTTTTTATTTTGTTTATGGTTTCCTTTGCTGGGTAGTTTTTTACTGATGTAGTCTTACTTGTTTATTTTTGTTTCCCTTACCAGGCATATCCAGAAAAGAAATGGCTAATGCTCATGTTTAATACTTTACTGCCTATGTGTTCTTCTAGGAGTTTTATGGTTTCATAACTTATATTTAGGTCTTTACTCCATTTCAAGTTTATTTTTATGTATGGTGTAGGACAGTAAGTGATCCGGTTTCATTCTTTTGCATGTAGATATCCAGTTTTCCCAGCACCATTTATTGAAAAGACCATCTTTTTCCCATTCATTGTATATTCTTGTCTTCTTTGTCATATATTAATTGACCATATAAGTGTGGGTTTGTATCTGGGTTCTCTATTTGTTTCCATTGATCTATGTGTCTATTTTTATTCTAGTACTGTACTGTTTTCATTACCATAGCTTTGTAGTATAGTTTGAAATCAGGGAGTGTGATATCTCTAGCTTAGTTCATCTTTCTCAACATTTCTTTGGCTATTCAGGGTCCCATACAAATTTTAGGATTATTTACTTCAGTTCTATGGAAAATGTCATTGGTCTTTTGATAGGAATTGCATTGAATATGTAGATTGCTTTGGGTACTATGGCCATTTTAACAATATTAATTCTTCCTATCCATGAGCATGGAATATCTTTCCATTTATTTATGTCATCTTCAGTTCCTTTCATCAATGTTTTATAGTTTTCAGAGTACAGGTCTTTCACTTCCTTGGTTAGATTTATTCCTAGGTATTTTATTCTTTTTGATGCAATTGTAAATGGTATTATTTTCTTAATTTCTCTTTCTGCTAGTTCATTATTTTTGTATAGACATACAACAGATTTCTGTGTATTGATTTTGTATCCTGTGACTACTGAATTCATTTACTAATTCTAATAGTTTCTTGGAGGAGACTTTAGGGATTTCTATATATAATATCATGTCATCTACAAGTAGTAACAGTTTTACTTTATACTTATGAATTTAGATGCCTTTTCTTTCTTTTTCTTGTCTGATGGCTGATGCTATGTTGAATAAAAGTGGTGAGAGTTGGCGCCCTTGTCTTGTTCTTGATATTAGACATAAAGCTTTCAGCTTTTCACCATTGAGTATGTTAGCTGTAGGTTTGTCATAAGTGGACTTAATTATGTTGACATAATGTACCTCTATAACCACTTTGTTAAGACTTCTGATCATAAGTAGATACTGAATTTTGTCAAATGCTTTTTCAGCATCTGTTGACATGATCATATAGTTTTTAATCATTTATTCAATGCTGTGTATCACATTGATTTGTGGTTATTGAACCGTTCTTGCATCTCTGGAATAAATTCCACTTGGTCATGGTGAATGCTTTTTCATGTATTTTTGAATTCCACTTGCTCATATTTTGTTGAGGATTTTCACATCTGCATTCACCAAAGATACAGGTGTTTAATTTTCATTTTTTTTCTTTGTCTTTATAGTGTCTTTGGTTTTGGTATCAGGGTGTTGCTGGCCTCATAGAATGAATTTGGAAACTCTCCTTCCTCTTCAATTTTTTGGAATAGTTCGAGATGTATAGGAATTAACAATTTTTTGGAATAGTTTGAGAATTAAATGTTTGGTAGAATTCTCCGGTGAAGCCATCTGGTCCTGGACTTTTTTTGGTAACAATTTTTTTGTTTCATTACTGATTCAGTTTCATTAGTAATCAGTCTGTTCAGATTTCTTTTTCATTCTGGTTCAGTCTTGAAAGATTGCATGTTTCTAATATCTTATCCATTTCTTTCAGGTTGTTCAATTTCTTGACATATTACTTTTCATAAGATTCTCTTACAATAGTTTGTATTTCTGTGCTATCAGTTATAACTTCTCTTTCATTTGTGATTTTGAGTCCTCTCTTTTTCTTCATTAGTCTAGCTAAAGGGTTCATCAATTTTATCTTTTCAGTGAACCAGCCCTTAGTTTCATTGATCTCAAGTATTGTTTTATAAATCACTTATTTCCACTCTGATCTTTATTATTTATTTCTTTCTACTAACTAGGCTTTGTTCTTTTTCTAGCTCCTTGAGGTTTTATAAATGTCTTTTAGTAAGCATT